AGTAGCCTAAGTATTATATCTGGGCTGGGCGAAGAGATATTTCCTCTTGTTTGCGCACAGCTGGTGCCTTTCTAATGCAGTAAATACCATATTCAGGTGTTGCTCGTGTGACAATGCATCCTTGCTGTACACCAAGATGTCATCAAAGAAAACCAAAACAAATTTCCTCATATAATTTCTGAATACTTGATTCATGTGTGACTGAAATGTTGCTGGGGCATTAGTGAGGCCGAACGGCATGACTAGAAACTCATAATGTCCTTCGTGAGTCCTGAAAGCTGTTTTGTGTACATCCTCCTTCCGAATCCTTATTTGGTGATAACCTGACTTCAAGTCCAATTTTGAGAATATTGTTGCCCTATAGAGCTCATCAAGTAGTTCGTCGATGATTGGAATAGGAAATCTGTCCGGCACAGTTGCTTTATTTAATGCTCTATAGTCGACACAAAAACGCCAGCTTCCATCCTTTTTCTTTACGAGGAGCACGGGGCTAGAAAATGGGCTAACACTAGGTTGAATGATTCTGGCTTCTAGCATCTCCTTGACCAACTTCTCAATCTCATTTTTTTGAAAATGCAGGTACCGATAAGGTCGGACACTCATAGCCTTCGAGCCGTCCTTCAACGGAATGGCATGATCGACTTCTCGGACTGGGGGCAACCCCCCTTTCTCTTCAAACACCTGCCCATGTTTTTGAAGTATCTTTAGCACTCGTGCAGGGGGTTCTACTTCCATTTTCCTCAACTCCCCTTCTAAATGTCCCTCTTCTTGCAACGTTTTCATCATAATCTTCAATGAAATCCCTGATTTATTAAGCCCTGGTTCTCCTTTTAGTGCCATCCAAGCATCTCCCATTCGGAGTTTCATGGTCAATAACTTCTAGTTAACTTCCATGCTTCTGAGTGTGCCAAGTCATTGCATACCAGTACAACCTGTGCTGCCTAATTCCAGTGGCAAAAAATCTTCCACAATCGTGAGCCCTTGCATTATCAGCGCTACCCCTCTACACATTCCTTTTCCCTTCATCGATTCCCCTGTGCCCATGACGACATCGTAGTTGTTTGTTTCAGTAGTTGGAAGCCCCAGCTGTTGGACTAATTTCAACGAGATAAAATTGTGAGTCGCCCCGCAGTCAATTAAAACTGTTACCTCGCGTGATACGATTAATCCTCTTAATTTCATGGTACCCGGAGTGGCCAGCCCTATTACGGAGTTGAGCGACAGCTCCACTGTCTCTGTTATCTCCAGCGACGACTCTTCTATTGGATTTTCGAGCCTTGCCTCCCCTTCCTCTTCGTGTTCTTATACCAGCAGTACCTAGAGCTTCTGATTTTTGCACCTGTGGCCTACTGTATACTTCTCCTCACAACGGAAACATAAGCCCTTATCTCGCCTCGTCCTCCATTTGGTTTAATGGGTATTTCTCTCCGACCGCTCACAAATCTATCATCCACCGTCACCGTCTTCGTAGGGAACGAACTTGTTTTGATTGGGTTTGGATTGCTTTTGAGATTTTTCTGGGCTTTGAGTTCCTTAACATTCTTAAGCACCATGTTCTAGTCCTTCACTTTTTCGGCCACTTCTATAATCTGGCCCAATCCTTTTGGGCCCAATAACTTAACCTCAGCCCTGATTTTTAGTAAGAGCCCATTTACAAAAGTATTCTCCAGCACTTCATCGGGGAGGTTTTTCAACGGGGCTGCCAGTACCTCAAATTCTCTTCTGAAATCCGCCATCGTCCCACCTTGGCTCACCGCCAAAAACTCTCACATAGACTGCCTTCCTGGGTCGGTTGAAAACGCGGTTCCTGCCATTCCAGGAACGGCTTCCTTGCTTCCACCCACTGCAGCCATGAAAGGGCATCACCTTCCGGACTTACTCCCACTGCTATTTTCTCCCGCTCCGACAATCCATTGATCTCAAAGTATCTCTCCACGCGGAAGAGCCACCCATTTGGATCTTCCCCACTGAAAATGGGCATTTCCAGTTTCCTCACCCTTCTCCAATTATCCACTTCCCTATCATGATCCACGGCAGTTGTTACACTTCCTTGGCTGACTTCCCCCAAACCTTCTGGCCACTTTCCTCGTTCTATTGTTCATTGGTCACCCACAACCCCTAGGGGGATGGTCAGAAGTAATTGTTTTCCAGTAATGCTTCCTAATCCACCGCCTTTTGAACCTCCTTTCGTCCCTGCCCTTGGATTCGAGAGTGCCGTAACTGTTTTTCGTAGTCTCTTCCAATGATTGCATCATTTTGGCTACGTTCTGAGCCAGTTGTTCCATTGACCGTTCCAAGCTTGGAAGTCGCTGCATCTTAGACTTCACTTCTTCAATCTTTCTCCATGGATTCTAGCCTGCCGTTTTTTTTTTTTTTTTTTTTTTTGGCCATCAGGATGCATGTGCTCTGATACCAATTTGATGGGGCTCAAACTAAGAAAGTAAGAATAGAAATTAAAATGAATCCTTAATTGAAGAAGAACGATAACAGCAGAGGAATTACATAAATAGAACAGTGACCACAAGACTATTTCTCGCTCACTAATTTTCTGCCATCTTCCCTCCCTACTAACTCTATTTATAGCTAGGTTTCTCCCGCAGCACGTGCTTTTCAACAGATTCTGCTCTCTCCTTTCTTGATTCTTCTAGAATATGTGAAGTCTATAGGTGGCTTATCACTTTCAAGACTGTCTCGATTAGTTCTGCTCGATCTCTCTCAGATTTTCTTTGAGACCAATCACAGGGATAGCATTGCACGGAGTAAAAGTTTTCGTGGTCTTTTCTGGGCGTAAATACATTAAGATTCTGGCACATGTTGAATGTTATGCCTGATTGAAATGAGTTTCTCCATCTATCTCAAATGAATTCCAAGAAATTAGGTAGTTTTATATTGAATCAGTCATAGACAATAACATAAGAAAAACCAATGCGAATAATCACTTTCAGCCATGACACAAGTGTTCATAACATTGTTTTAACAAGGCGTAAGGCACTGCAAAACAGCAAGATCAAGTCTCAAGTCTTACATGAATAGGAGTATTGAAGCTAAGCTTAAGCGTTAAAAAGCATTTTCTTATTTTATTAATATTATTTCATTATTCTATAGTCATTAAAGGTTGAGATGTCTTGAGGTTTTGGATTTTACATCTCTTCGAGAAGTTATATCTTAGTCATAAAAGGGAATTCTGGCAAGATTCACTGCTCTTATGAGAGTGGTTCATATCTCCTGGAGATTGGATTGGTTGTTTATTTGTGGATGAGAATACTTGGGTCGCATCTCTCTCTAGTTGCATCCAAATATTCGGAGGACACCTCTGAGCAACAGCTCAAGGGGCTAAGTTATGAGTCATTGGGTTTTGTTAGTTTCGTCATGCCCCACACCATCATTTCTTCTAGTCTTGATCTCCATTGAGGAGGAGATGTATCATCAAACCAAACCCACCCCTATTTCTTTCGCGATAGGAGTCTTTCCTAGGTTGTGAGGCAATAGTGCCAGTTTTCAATCACTAAATTAGTGTCTAGACTGTGGTCAAAAGAGAAGTTGATTGAATTTTTCCTGCCTAGTTTTTATCGGATGTTGAAGAATCATGCTATTTGTACAAATTAGGTTGATAAACTTGGTTAATAAATTGTGTTGACAACATCTAAGTTAATCATTTCAAAAATAATTTTTGAAATCAAGGAAATCAATAATCTAGATCTTGTCAAGACTTAGTTTGTACAACTAGATTAATTTGGGTGTTGAAAATGCTTCATGCCTCACGTCACTTAAACATTGATTAATTCCATTATAGGTATTCTTCGCTAAGAGCTCAGAGAACCTATCATTAGAGATCATCGTGGTCTAGTCTTGGCGGCCCGCTCTCGACACATTATAGGCTCTTTTGAACCCTCTCCCCTCCCTACCCCACCCCACCCCAACCAAAACAAAAGTTACCTTATCTATGGCACTACTTCATGGCCTACAACTTGCAGAAGGATATGGATACTAGAATTTTGAAGTGGAGACAGATGCACAGACGGTTCATAATCTCGACTAGATATCATTACTAGCACCAAACTCAAACGTTTTCATTTATTAACCTAATGACATGGGATTGATACGATGCATCAAGAGGAAAATTGAAGAAAATTCACAAGTTTCGAGAGCGAAGTTCAATTTATGGGAAGTTTGGGACACCTTTGAAACTTGAGGAGGATCAATTTTCAATGACTAGGGAGAACTGGGGACCAACATAAAAGCTTTTGGTACTTTGGGAGCAATGTTGAAGATTTAGCTAATATTAAGCACCCCATGTATTTAATGATTCTCCAATTAAATGGTGTGCCATGTATTTAATTAAGTATCGGTGTTTAGGAGATCATTCTTGTATATAAATATATGTATGTGTGTGCGCTTGCTTGCTTACGTGTAATCAATTGATTTTTTGATTATTGTCATCTTTCTTTCTTTTTATTTTTTATTTTCCAATTTTTTTTTTTGGACAAGCATAACCTAACGCAATGAAAAATGCTAAATGTATATAATTTTTCGACACGTAAATCTTATAGAAAACACATGGCGTGATATCATTGGAAGATGAGAAAAAAATAAGAAAAACAGTTCAATCATGTTTTGCCACATCAGTGTTGATATAAGTTCTGTAAAAATTTTCATATACTCATGGCTTTATTGTAACGCAATAAGTTAAAACTCCATAAAAATAGAACAATAATTTGTATATTTGATCCCATTGATGACAAATTAAAAGAACACGTTCCTTACAAGGACTCGGTCGATCTGTCGAGGGATGTGGTACGTAGTACGTTTAGTACGCCCTACTAAAACAATTCCTAAAAAAAAAAGAAAATGCGTAAAACAGGGGATTATAGAAAGAAAAAGAAAACAACTACGAATCATAATTCTTGACAGCATCCTCTCAAACGTAACAAAAATATTTACGATCAAAAAAAAAAAAAAAATTATAAAAAAAAAAAAAAAAAAAAAAAAAAAAAAAAAAATCACCACACAGTCTTCATCTTAACAGAACACTTCTTTGGACCTTCCACCACAGCACCGAAATCCCTCTCATCATCTGAAACTTTAATTCTAACATCCTTACATAGTACCTTAATGCTCGTCTGTTCAACTCGTCCTCGAGATGCCTTCTGTACAACCACAGAACCCTTCAAATTCACATCAATATTTACAGTTCCATCTGGGTTGGGATTGGCTATGAAATCACTTATGTTAACCAGTGGCACAACTGCGGTTGCATTTATTAATGTCTCATCCTCTGCAACTGAATTAAAAGCGATAGTTTTTGTTCCAAATATGTATTCGCCTCTGTAAGAAACCCTAACATCAAATTCACTGTAATCGAATTCAAAGTTCTTATTAGGGTTCCTTGCCAAGATTCTAATGTTCCAACTAGCAGTGTTATTCAAGATTGATACTGATGCAGATTCCACGTCGAGAATTGGACGATGGGCGTAAGACGAAAATAACAATAAAAATATGAAGAGTCCGAGGATTAACAAAATAATCATGAAACTACAGATGGATAAACACGTATCTGAGCAGAAACCCTGGGTTATATTATCATGTGATTGAGATTCTAATTGACTCTCCAGTGTCGAAGGGGTTGCTTGGCTTGTGTTGAACTCCATAGAATTGATGTACTGGGGTTGTGCCATGACAGGGAAGCCATAAACGACATAGGGTTCGTGAGAACAAATAGGAAATCCTTGTACTACATCTACTTGATCGTCGTTTTGTGGGATTGAAGAACTCATCTTGATGAAACTTGAAACTTGTTTTCGTTTTTCAGATTAATGGTTTCTTTGAAAATAAGAAGGAATTCTGATGAAGCCAGATATATAGAGTGTGCATGCAGGAGAAGAATCCAAGTCCTGGTGATATTAGGAAAGCTGGCTCAATTTAGGAAACTAGTTTTTCTAGTGAATATAGGTTTAACAATTAAGACCTAATTAGATTAGAATTAGGACGAACTCGAGAGTTTAATCATAATTATGTTATAATTTTTGGCTTTTAATTTAGGGAAAAAAAAAAGTTACTTGCGGTCATATATCTATAAATAATTAAATATCTCACTAGATTCCCACACTTGCAAGTCATTTAATAGATAATATTTAATCATATGGGACAAATTCCAATGGTATATACAAAATAATTTTATATGTGTGTGTCCAATATCAAATAGAGCATATTGATTAAATGCATAAACATATGAACAACATACTGATAGTTCAAAAATTAATAATAATAAGAGAAAATTGCAGCATCGGTACCTAACCTTTTCGATTTTTGCAGACTTTACCCTGTCCTTCAATTTGTGCCAACGAAGGTCCCCAACCTTTCACAAATATGCACTAGAGGTTTAAATGGATGGAAACCGTCAACTTGACCGAAAAATTGACCTTAACCACAATTTTGACTAATTTTAAAATGAAAATATGGTAAATTTGCATTTTTTTAACATAAAATAATTAAATAAACACCAAAAAATAAAAGAAACTTACCTAATCACCCCCACCTCACCCTACACTACCCTCACGAAAAATTGAAAAGCCAGAGGTTGGCAGCTTCTTTCCCGACTCTTACCCAAATCGTTAGGCACAAAGGCCGTCACCATAGCTACCTACAATGTTGGCACTGCCTCCCAAGGCAGTTGCCACCACCCTACTATCAAAACCAATAGAAACTGAAGAAATTTGTGTCGTTATATTTAATCGGTAGTGTATGGAGTGGAATCGGGTTCTCATATATCGTATCTGTGTTTTAGACACCGGATTCACACTTACCGTATTTGACAATTGCTTACCGTATTTGGCAGGCAGTCATCGTATTTGGTAGAGAATTAAACACAGAATTTTCACAACTATTTGTTTTCATACAATGACTTTAGATAACATAGAATTTGGTGTTTGTGCTCATATAATTTGCACAAACACAATTTCGAAAAAAATTCAGATAAATTTTTTCTTAATTTTATTTTTCACAAATTACTTAGATACAGACTATTATCTAAATCACTACTTGAATGAGAATAACAAATTATATTATTTACAGAAACATAAAAGCAGTATAAATTTCAGAAAGCTAAATAAAATCTGAAAGCGTGTAAATCTGCAAATAATTAAAGCACAGATACTCAAACTGGAAGCATATATATTTGGAAATAAATTTTTAACCTCGAGGCCTGTGTAAACACGATTTCCTTAAGACAAATTCGTCCCCTTATCGTAGTGCTAGAAGTTTAGTTCAAGCGTCTGTCTCCCAGGATACAACGGTAATTAGCAGAATCTGAGCACCGCGATTCTACTCTGGCGAATTAGGCGAGTGTTCGAACAATATCACCTTACTGGAATGGACACAGGAGGAGATGGAACAAAAACAGAAAACACAGACGAAAATTGCAGTGTATAAACTGCTAGAAATTGTGAATCTGACCATTAGTTTCTACATTAACCATTGCAGTTTTCGGAGTTACACTTCGGTTTCGACCATTGGAGTTTTATGAGTTTCAGACACTTAAAAGTCATTTGGAAAAACCACAAAAAAAATTGCAAAACGCTGACAATCCAAACTGGCTAGTTTTTCCTCCCTTTGGTCCGATATTCGTGTGCGCAGGTCGCGCCCGCACCCAAATTTAGGGTCCAAAGGCTATTTCTGTACGTGATTTGCACCCCTTGCGCGCACACGTGGAAAGAGCCTATATGCTACACATGATCACACCATTCCAATGCATAGCCACATATAACGTGGTTTTGGTTTCCATATTTTTCCTATGTGGGACAAAGTTAATTATAGTTTTCCCACCAACATAGATCATTTCCACTTTTAACTCCAATTTCTCATTCACCCGAGCTTCATTTTTAACAAATAAATACACGACTTCGATGTTCTCACGGAGGAGAACACACATCAACTTTGATATGCCACATTGGACCAACGGGTCCCATCGAAAATTGTGCCAAAAGTGAGCCGCTCACTCATTTCCAACAATCCCCCATATGAATGAAAATTGGGAGAGACACGAAACGTGAGACATAAGACTTGGTGATAAAGTTCAACGGTTGAACCCTACATAGGATAGGTAGGTTTTACCCTTTGACCCTTCCCTTGTGAAAGCATATTTGCTTTACTGGCCGACCAGTAAACGCGATATCTTTGAACTGTTCTGTCGTTTGTGTAAATGATGATATACTTCACACAGGATTCTTCTTAATACCCTTCAGTTTTCATTACTATGTTCGTTTTGGCCATGAACATATGCCTGGTTCTGTGAGAGTTTCTAAGAATTGAGCCCCACACAATTCTCTTAGAAGCGGCCCCACTTCTTTCTCACATAGGTGATTTCTTATTACAAGTAACCCGCATTACTTGGCTCGATTTTCGACGCGTAAGAATCATTAAAAGCCTATTGCTTAACCTTCATCCTCACGGGCATCACTGTTATATCATAGGAATGGATAGGAGGTGATACTCCCACAGTGATTTTATCAAGTCTTTACAGTTAGGTTGTCCCTTTGAACCTAGATCTTGGGATTTCCAGTCAATTAAGTTAGATTTCCTTTGTAATAACTTATTCTTTCAAGGGCTTGAGTCCCATTCTTTTCGATGATTTCCCAACTAACTCTCTATTTAACCCTTTGGTTAGCGGATCCGCAATGTTATCCTTTGACCTAACATAGTCAATTGTGATAACTCCGGTTGAGAGTAGTTGTCTAATGGTATTGTATCTACGACGTATATGTCTAAACTTACCATTGTACATGTTACTCTGTGCTCTTCCTATTGCTAATTGACTGTCACAATATATGCAGATTATAGGCACAGGTTTGGACTATTTTGGAATATCCTCTAAGAAGTTGCGCAACCATTTGGTCTCTTTACCACATTTATTTAGGGCTATAAACTCAGATTCCATCGTAGATCTGACTATAACCATTTGCTTAGAGGATTTCCACGAGATGGCAGCACCTCCCAAAGTGAACACATATCCACTGGTGGACTTTGAGTCTTTTATATTAGATATCCAATTAGCATTGCTGTATCCTTCAATGACCGCTGGATGTCTGGTGTAGTGTATTCCATAGTCACGAGTATATCTTAAGTACCTCAGTACTCTTACTATACGTTTCCAGTGATCATTTCCTGGATTACTCGTATATCTACTCAATTTATTGACTGTGTAGGCTATGTTTGGTTTTGTACAACTCATTAAGTATATTAAACTTCCAATAACCCTCGAGTATTCTACTTGAAAGACACTTTCACCCTTATTTTTTGGATAGATGTTGACTTGTATCTATTGGTGTTCTGGCCAAGCCAGTATCATCCTTACTGAACTTTTCCAAAATTTTGTCCACATAATGTGACTGGCTTAGAACAAGCCCATTTGATGTTCTTGAGATTTTGACTCTAAGTATAACATCAGCTAAACTCATATCTTTCATATCAAATCTCGAATTTATTATATTTTTAGTGGATTCAATCATCTTATTGTTACTACCAACAATAAGCATGTCGTCAACGTAAAGACATAAAATGACATAGCCATCTTCAGTGTCTTTAACGTAAATGCATTTGTCACATTCATTAATTTTAAATCCACTCTCTATCATGATATTGTCAAATTTTTCATACCATTGTTTGGGTGCTTGTTTCAAGCCATATAGTGATTTCACCAGTTTACAGACTTTCTTTTCCTGTCCTGATGACGAAAACCCCTCGAGTTGTTCCATGTAAATTTCTTCTTCTAAATCTCCATTTAGAAAAATAGTTTTAACATCCATTTGATGTACTTCTAGATTTCGCAAAGCAGCAATCGCAAGTATCACCTTAATAGATGTTATTCTCATCACTGGAGAACACGTATCAAAGTAATCAAGGCCTTCTCTTTGTTTGTAACCTTTTATCACTAATCTAGCCTTGTACTTTTCGATAGTTCCATCTGCTTTCATTTTCCTTTTGAAAATTCATTTGTAGCCTAGTGGTTTGCATCCACAAGGAAGATCCATTAACTCCCATGTATGATTTTGCAGTATGGAATCTATTTCACCTTTAATGGCATCTTTCCATTGTGGTATTTCTGAGGAATTCACAGCTTCTTAATAACTTTGAGATTCGCTTTCTAACATATAGGTCAGAAAATCAGGACCATAAGTCTTTTCTGTCCTTTCTCGTTTGCTGCGTCTAACCTCAGTCTCTTCTTCTAATTCTTCATTCTAACTATTTTCAGTCATTGTCTCATATGTTCGTTTAGAGGAGCTGGCTTCCTCTTTGGACTTGTATGGAAATACTTTTTCAAAGAATGAAACATTCATCGATTCCATTATCGTGTTTTTGTGTACGTCTAGAATTTTTGAATCATACACAAGAAACCGATAAGTACTGCATAGCCAGTGAAGATGCAATCTATCATTTCGGGCTTATCCTTACCTTCTTTGGTGTTGGAACAACCACTTTTGCAAGACACCCCCACACTCGCAAGTGTTTATCGATAGACTTTCTTCCTTTCCAT